ATTGATGGTTATCTAATAATGGCTGGAGACGGCTTAAATGGGGAATGAAGAAAAACTTTAATATAAGTCTAACATAACAGCAAATTTACAACGTTTCGACAAGGTTTTGTCATCATCAGGTACCTTTGTACATTTGCTGTTATGTTAAACTTATATTAAAGTTTTTCTTCATTACCCATTCAAGCCGTCTCCAACCATTATTACTGTAGATTATCATTGGACACTTAAAACACTTTCTGGATTATCATTGGACATTTAGAACACTTTCTAGATTATCATTGGTCATTTAGAACACTTTCTGGATTACCATTGTACATTTAGAACACTCTGGATTATCATTGTACATTTATAGCAAACTTTCTGACTTATCATTAGACATTTAAAACCACTTTATCGTTTATCTTTGAATATTAGTACACGTAAAAAAAATAGAATAAATATTAGCACTAATTATCTTTTCTTGCTTTAGGATCATCACCAGCACACATACCCTGCCACTTTGCACACTATTCTGACCCTGGTCCATTCCACAATCTGTCTCGGCCATCTCCGGCCAAAACTGCTGCGCGAGCTTCTGCCGCCTGGCACTTTCCCTCGCATGAATCATCATCATCCTCTTCTACTTCTTCCTCCAGCTTTCGAACTACGGCTCGCCACGTTCCAGGTCACGTGTCATTTGAGACATCAGTGTAGTACACGTGGTATCCAAGTTTTTAGTTTATATTGTGATATATAAAACGTAATGGTGATTAATGGTCGTTCAGAGTTTTGTATTGTTTGTATACGTTTAATTCAAATGATGTGTTTTCATGAAATCGCTCTGTCTTTAAAATCAAATTAAAACGAAAAACTAACTATAACTGTGCAGAGAGTGCAAATAGAAAGGCTTGGTTCGATCATGCGTAAAATAATTTACTATAGATACATTAAGATTTTTACTTAAAAATATGTATTTCTTATAATTTGGAAGTTTTTACTGACGAAGAACGGCCATTGTGTATAAGTATAGGTAGAGTAATTATCTAAACGTAACAACAAATATATTATCTGTGAGTCAATCTACTATCTTTATAACTTGAAATCTGCTATTTTAATGAACGAGCAACAGTGAGGTGAACATTATTAACGAATTTAAGACTATCTTCTCTGTCGTCAAACTTAATAGTGTCTTATTTTCACCACTAGGTTCGACATTGTTTTATTAAAAGTGAAAAGCATTACTTCGAGCAATGCAGAAATTAATAGTACTATCTTGGTTATTGTAGGGCATCGTTTTGGATATTCCCTTGATTTTCCTAGGTCATGGATATGGGTATTATCTTGGTTTTCCTGGGGTAGGTTTCTGGATATCACCTCTGCTACTTTAAACCAAGATTCTGGGTATCTCTTACATTAACGTTCTCCTGGATGATTTAATCTATATTTTTGGACATTATCTTAGCTAATTCATTTCAGGGTACTTAGTATTCTTTTAGTTTGTCTAAAACAGAATTTTGTGTATTCTCCGAGTATTTCTAAACCATTTTGTTTCGATGTTTTGTTGGACTTCACTTGGTCATTCTAAGCGAGAATTTTTGGAATTCTTTTGTATTTTAAACCTTAATCCTGAGTATAGTCCACAATCATTCTATAATCCATATCCATCGCTAATTTCAGGAGAAGATATCTTAACTGTTTTCTACTCAAAACTATATCTTTTGCAACATGTCAAACGTCTTAGAGAATCATGTGGAAAACCCTAAAAATGGCCGCCATCCATAATACAAATCATCCAAACTTTGCACCGAGAAAACGTAGAATGATGATATTCTTTATCTTTTAAAAATTCAGTCGAAGGGAAAGAAATTGCACGGGTCAGTCTTTCACGGAAATTCTTGGAAGGACAAGACCATTTCATTGTGTAGAGGTCCTCCAGCACAGGTAATAATGGTAATGACCATAACTCAGAACAAATTTTATCAAAGCTTTAGCAGACAAAAATCTGATAGAAGCAAACTACAATATATAGAATTAAATCTTCGAAGTTTCAACTTCCCCCAGGTGTCTGTTCCAGCAATTACAGATTACTTGATTGGCAGCAATCCTTTCGTCTACGCTGGCCACATGTAGCATAGTATTCCATGTTATTCCTGCACGTGAACCTCGTACAGCTACAATCAGTGTGACAGTTGCATCTGATCACAAATAGGAATTTGTCTGGTGCTGGTTGCAAGTCTTTCATCACAGGGACAATTGTTCTATCATCAGCTCTCCATTCCCATTCTTCTGGTAACATGTTTCACACACACCCCTCCTACTGTTGAATCTGGTAGTACACATGTAGGATGTGGTACTTTGCTTCGGTTGTTGTAAGAGGAAGGATCTGTGGACATATGAACTCTTGGTGACAACCTTTTCGTGAAATTGCTTTTATTGTCGACATACTTTCTCTGAAGCTGCTACAATAATCTCTTTTACTTGTTCACAGAAATAATTGGTACTGATGAACTTTATAATGGAAGTTCCGGAGCTTCCATTATAAAGTTCATCATACTCTGTGTGTGTCACTACCTCCGACCTACACAGAATTTGGAAAGGAGCTTCCATTATAAAGTTCATCATACTCTGTGTGTCACTACCTCCGACCTACACAGAATTTGGAAAGGAACTTCCATTATAAAGTTCATCATACTCTGTGTGTCACTACCTCCGACCTACACAGAATTTGGAAATTTCTAAATTTTGTGTAGGTCGGAGGTAGCGACACACAGAGTAGGAACATTAGGTTTGTGGCATTGTCTATGACCATAGTTTTAAATCCCTGTTGCCAATTTTACTGTTGTCTGTACAATGAGGAAATCCGCATCTTCCTGGGCATAATGAGTTTTGAATTTTTTCGTTTCTAGGTATTCACTGAGACTGCTGATGAACAGTTGCTTGTTTTTCTTCTTCACTTTGGTCAATTTATCTTAACTTATAATCGTATCTTCTTTACATAGACAGTTTGGGTCATTACCATTATTACGAGTTTGAATAGTTGTTGATCTTGAAAACATGACCATGAAGGACTACTTCTATGTACTTTAAATTGCTTCTACTCAACTTCTTTATGCCAAAAATGTAACAAAAAGACTTAGAATCATTTTACTTGTATTAGATGAAAGGTTATAATAATTTGTGTTAATAACCATTTTCGTTTTTCCATTTTTCAGGATTTCCCTCCAGCACGATTCACTAGGACTTTTGATATGTTATAGAAGAGCGTATAAAACAGTTGATATATCTTCTGTTGTAATTAGTGTGTGACAAACTTTATAAAGACTGAACTTCCTTATTTTAAGCCAATGTTATAGGTATTGTCATCATTCCTGTAAGCTAAGGCTCTGAGTGATGCTTCCATTGCACATAGGAAGAAATCTTGTATGCAGTTTTCTAACCTGCTTTCAGTAAAAAATGTTTGAACATGTTAGACAACTGAAGCTACATTTTAAAATGGATCCAACTGAGCCTTAAAGACAATGTAATTTTGATTTTCTGTTGATTACATCGTTATATTTTTGTTGACAAACAGTAATATATCTAATATTGAGTTTCATTTGAGTCTAGTTGTGCTCCACTAAAACGTCTGCTGAATGTGTTTGTGTGTTGAGTTAAGGGATTTTCTGGAGATTTTGATAAATAGAGTGGTGTTTTTCCAAGGATGTAAACAATAGTTGAATTTGTAACAAAGCAGGAGCTACTCCTAGCGGTACGTGAATATATATTGGAGAAAGTGAGTATCTTCCAAAAACTGTAACAAAGCAAGAGCTCCACCTAGCGGTAAGTGTCGTCCAAAAACTGCACAGAATTAGTTTTACACACCAGTAAAACCTCACTTTAAGCGTGGTTTAAAATGAGTTGGTTCGAAAGTCCATTAAAATAATAAAATATGGAACACTTCTACTGAATTCAGTTTTCGTTTGTTTGAAGGCTTGTTTCTTCTACTGTCTTATTCTCCACTGTAGCATGTTCTGAATGTATAATGAAATGATTATTTTAGTATGGTAATGTTGTTTCATGTACCCATGTGATGAGTGGGTAATATTCATCCATCAATATAGCCTCTATGTGTATGTTAGCCATTTAATAATTGGGTAATGTTTATCTAACAATATATTCTATTAGTTTAAGTTAGTCATGTGATGATTTGGTAACGTTTACCTAAAAATGTGGCTTCTCATTGTACGTTAGCCAATATGATGGTTGGGAAATGTTCGCCTGACAGAAGCGGCACCTCAGTCTTAATGTGTTATATGACACCCAAAAAACATTGCTGTATATTATATCTATTGTTTCTTATTGCCATAGTCAGTATTATCCATAGTGATTTATCTTGATATGCATTGGAGGAAATAGTATCTTGTCTTTTATGCATATCGAAACCAAAATAACCTACGAATGGAATACTTGTATATTAGAGAAATCTATGATTTAAAGTTTTTTGTCATTGACCGGCTTCATAGTTAATTATTTCATGGCAAGGACTTCAAAGTTTCACAAAGAAATTCCCACACTCGTCGGTAAGAAATATACAATTGTGGTATTCTCAGGTGATAAGAGAACTTGTGAAGTTGCTGTGATTGACGATTTAACTGAGTATTCAATAAAAAGAGTGGACAAGTTTTCAAGAAAGCAAACTCAATCTGTATTATACTAAAAACCAAAGAAAAGGAAATGGGTGCACTTGTGAAAACCAGATCAGAGTCGATTATCAACTAGATGGTGTTTAGTCCTACTATTTTAACTTTTTCGAGATTGATCTCTGTAGAATTAAAAACTCAATGATCTCAAAATAGTCTTAAGACCAATATCGCGTAGAAAGTATGCTAGAATTCGACAGGTAAAACTCTGTTTCATTATCTAGTCAACATCATTATCTCATGACCATTTCTCTCTCACAACCTTTACTGGCTGTAACATACAGACATCATCCATTCAGCCAGCAAATGATATTACAGTCGGTGATCCTTTTAACAGGTATTTCTAAGTTACTGCAGTATCTCTTAAGACAGAATAAATGTTATTTGCTATAGAGAACAAAGCAACTATAACAAGGTACCTTCACTGGTTTTCCGGACCACATGTTTATGTCAAAACTACATAGAAAATAGGTAAATAAAATATTTCAAAAATTCTTAAATAGATAAATAAAATGAGGTAGAATACCTATGATATGCCGGCATATCACACATTTCCTCCCTTCACTGTTTCAGGTTTGTCTTCAAGTCAACAATTATAATTAAACTTTAGGCAATAACCCTTAAACTTGCTCTACAGCTAAGGAACACATTAATTTTCCTTTGTTCCTAAAGAAACTTGGCATGGCCTGCCCTTGTGGTTAGGCGCTTTACTTGTAATCTATGGGTTGTGGGTTCAAATTCTATCACTGAACATTCTTGCCCTTTCAGCCATGGGGGTGTGTGTATTAATGTGACATTCAATTAGAGTGACCCAATAACTTGTGGTGATTAACTAGTTGTTTTCCCTCTTGTATGTTACTTCTAAATTAGGTACAGCTTACTAGATGGAAATAACATTTTAATGTTACTTTAAAAATACAAAATCATATATCATATATATGTATCATAACAATAACAAAAGAAGATCCTGTAGCATAAAAGTTGACATACACAATTTTGCTAGAAAAACCATTATTTATACGTCAAGCCAATAACAGTATAATGAAAGAAGTTAAAAATTAACATGAACATAAAGTAAACACCCTTTGAATTTAATTTAAAATAAATATGATAACAAAAGAACCCTTTAACAGTGATTACATAACAGTACTCTTCAACAAGAATATATACAACAAAATACAACAGGTACCATTCCATAAATACAAAATACACGAAAATCAAAAATATACTTACTCAAGAAAACAATCCTATAACAATGATTTCATATAAAAAACAAGAAAATAATAAGCATTTCTTGCATGGGCGAGTAATTGTGCATTACACTTATCATGTACATACAAATAAATACATTTAAAACGTACATATATACACAAAACTGTAACCTTCTCTACTCTTCAATACATGCTCGCATTCATGAACGAAAAAGGGTACCATCATTACATAAACAAATGAAGATATATATATAAATAAATAAAAAGATGTTAGGCCATTTTCCTCCAGCTACCCACACTCAAGAGTACAAAAGACAGTGAGTATTTTGAATATATATATATATATATATATTACAATAAATTAATTATATACAAAATATATGCTCACTCCACAAATTGGTCGAGGTTTCACTCTGCTCACCTCAGCCTTACCAGCACAGCTTCCAGGGTCACCATTTACTTCCGATTGGCACCCAGAGATCAGCTCAGGCTCTTACCAGATTCCAATCAGCTTCAGCTAGCTTGGCTCACATGCACCAGACCTCCTCCTCATACCACAATGCAGGTTAAAATTTGCCCTAATATGAACCAGTTTGAAATCATCTTATGTGGCTTTGTAGGGAATTCCATGGTCTACCCTTCTGTGTTTCCTCACTCACTATAGCAGTATAGGTCTTTTAGGATCATCCAGTCCTACACAGTGAGGTTGAGACTCCCATGATGGTGACAGAAACCATTGGAAAAGTTATGTGGCTGGTCTGCACTGCCATTGTTCTCGTCCTTGTGTCAAATCATCATATAACATGCCTCACCCCATCATACAGAGATTAGAATACCACTTGGGCCAATTATAGTGCCAGTGAACTCTTTTTTGGGCCTCAGGGTATAGTGGTTAAGTCCAAGATGCAAGCACATTTGTCGTCTCCACCTTTTGATAGTGTCGTACCCTATTATGGGACATGTTACTGGACCTCAAAGATCTTTAGTATTGACCAGTAGTGATATAGACTCTTGCTGTTCAGACATTTATAGACTTGGCTTCTTCAATCTGATGATCTAATGCTAGAAACCTCCCTGGTCTACCCAGTTACACTAGGGTATTTATCAGTCATTGTAGGTAGCTCATTCCTTGAACCCGGATGTTTCCCCAATTTCCAACCTCTTGATCATTTCTACATTTGAAGTTAACAATAACTCTAAAATAGCATTTTTTTCTGATAGGTTTCTTGACCAATTGATGAAGAAAACCATATTGAACAGTTTCCACAACCATTCTCCTTCACGATTTGACGATATGCGTGAAATTAAAATCACCCATAATTATGACTTCATTAACAACTGAAATCATAATCTCATTGTAAATTTTCTCACCAATTTCATCAGTATCATCTGGTTGTATGTAACAACTTCCCACTAGAAGTCTTTTCTCTTTATATCCGCTAATACAAACCCAAATAGATTCGATCACCTTGCTGTTATCTTTGATATCCCCAACTTCAACAGGATGTAACTCACATTTTATATATAAAGCCACTCCTCACCCTCTCTTTAGTATTCTATCCCTATTATATATCCTGTGACCCTGTATTTCAAAGAAATTTTTGTCATCAAAATCATCTACGTTTAAAGTTATTCCCATTATATCAAAATCCTACCAGTGCTCTAAAGTCATCTATTTTATTTCTTATACTTCTAGCATTACAATAGTAACAATTACGCCTACCCTTATAACTACTTCTATGCTTATTTCCTATCCTAAACTTTTATCTGTCTCTTATTCTTTTTGCATTTAGTTTAACCTGACCCTCACCACTGTCTAGTCCTAGTTAAAAACTTTCTTTAAACAGCTGAGTTAATAGTCCTAGCAAACAAGCAGCCCTATTCTACTTAAACGTAAATAGTCCATTCCAAAATGCTCCCTTCTTTAACTGATCTCACAAGTCCAACCACCCAATCTGCTCATCCTTACATATTAATCTAAACCTAGCATTTAGCTCTAGTGACATACTTATAACTCCATCCCCATAGTTAATTCTGGACAGTATCCCTGACAAAATTACGTTATGGTCTTTTTCTTTACATGCCTCTATCAACCCTTTGTACATATTAATGGCCCGGCATGGCCAGGTGGTTAAGACGCCTGACTCGCAATCTGAGGGTCGCGGGTTCGAATCCCCGTCACTCCAAACATGCTCGCCCTTTCAGCCGTGGGGGCGTTATAATGTGACGGTCAATCCCACTATTCGTTGGTAAAAGAGTAGCCCAAGAGTTGGCGGTGGGTGGTGATGACTAGTTGCCTTCCCTCTAGTCTTACACTGCTAAATTAGGGACGGCTAGCGCAGATAGCCCTCGTGTAGCTTTGCGCGAAATTCAAACAAACAAACAATACATATTAATTAGCTCCTCTGACCTACCTTTCCCAAACA